ATTTTCCGGTTCAATGATTTTTGTCAGAGTTATGGCCCTTTAATAATTTTTAATTTTAAAGTTTGTCCGGACTACTTCTCTTATACCACTTATGCAATTTCAATGAAACTTTACAGGATTGATCTGTAGCTCAAGTCCTTGCGCATATTGCAAGGGTTTTCCGGTTGAATGATTTTTGGCTGAGTTATGGCCCTTTGATAAAAAGGTGTTTTTTTCTGTGTGTTGCCAGATACACAATAGCTTGTCCGGACTACTCCTCATAAACTACTGGTGCAATTTCATCCAAACTTTACAGGAATGATCAGTACCAAGTCTAGTTGTGCATATTGTCAGCATTTTCCGGTTCAATGATTTTTGTCAGAGTTATGGCCCTTTAATAATTTTTATTTTTAAAATTTGTCCGGACTAGTTCTCTTATACCACTTATGCAATTTCAATGAAACTTTACAGGATTGATCTGTAGCTCAAGTCCTTGCGCATATTGCACGGGTTTTCCGGTTAAATGATTTTTGGCTGAGTTATGGCCCTTTGATAAAAAGGTGTTTTTTTCTGTGTGTTGCCAGATACGCAAAAGCTTGTCCGGACTACTCCTCATAAGCTACTGGTGCAATTTTATCCAAACTTTACATGATTGATCAGTACCAAGTCTAGTTGTGCACTGTCCGTCTGTCTGTCTGTCTGTCACAAAATTTGTCCCAACATGAAATTGGCCATTATGAGGCGACACATGTGATTACTGATCGCTCGTTTTTTTATTGCCAAAATTCGGCACTTGTGACCATTGTAAATGTTCGTCAAAATTGTGAAAAAAAGATAACTGGTGTATTTTTTCTCCCTACAGTAGACTACAGCAAAAGTATAATTAACAAGAGCGATCAGTAATCACATGTGTCGCCTCATAATGGCCAATTTCATGTTGGGACAAATTTTGTGACAGACAGACAGACAGACGGACAGTGCACAACTAGACTTGGTACTGATCAATCATGTAAAGTTTGGATAAAATTGCACCAGTAGCTTATGAGGAGTAGTCCGGACAAGCTTTTGCGTATCTGGCAACACACAGAAAAAAACACCTTTTTATCAAAGGGCCATAACTCAGCCAAAAATCATTTAACCGGAAAACCCGTGCAATATGCGCAAGGACTTGAGCTACAGATCAATCCTGTAAAGTTTCATTGAAATTGCATAAGTGGTATAAGAGAACTAGTCCGGACAAATTTTAAAAATAAAATTTATTAAAGGGCCATAACTCTGACAAAAATCATTGAACCGGAAAATGCTGACAATATGCACAACTAGACTTGGTACTGATCATTCCTGTGAAGTTTGGATGAAATTGCACCAGTAGTTTATGAGGAGTAGTCCGGACAAGCTATTGTGTATCTGGCAACACACAGAAAAAAATACCTTTTTATCAAAGGGCCATAACTCAGCCAAAAATCATTCAACCGGAAAACCCTTGCAATATGCGCAAGGACTTGAGCTACAGATCATTCCTGTAAAGTTTCATTGAAATTGCATAAGTGGTATAAGAGAAGTAGTCCGGACAAACTTTAAAATTAAAAATTATTAAAGGGCCATAACTCTGACAAAAATCATTGAACCGGAAAATGCTGACAATATGCACAACTAGACTTGATACTGATCATTCCTGTAAAGTTTGGATGAAATTGAACCAGTAGTTTATGAGGGGTAGTCCGGACAAGTTTTGTGACGGACGGACGGACAGACGGACAGACAGACGGACAGACAGACGACGGAGAAGTGATCCCTATATGTCGCCACTACTCCGTAGAGGCGACACAATAAACAAAATAAAAAGAATCCATACTTTTAAGTTTAAAATCCTTTTTGAAACTCACAGCCTTCAATGCTAAAAAAACATTGTCTAACTAAAGTCTAAGGTCAATCAAGGTCACGCATTATTTACCGACAAGAAATACAAAAATCCTTACGTGAAACATACAGCAAATGACGAAATATACAGCAAATGACGTATATTTCATCTGACAGTGCTTTGAGCCAATCAGTGTTGTGAGCTACATGACTGCTGTATGGGGTGAGTGCCTTTGATGTGACAGGTGTCAAAACTTACAAAAAAATCAATACACAGGGAGGAAAGGGATCGGACATTTCAGTGTAAAAATTGAGAACAATAAATTTGGATATTGCACATCCTGTCATGGACTTGGAGCAACTTATCATTTTTAAAAATGAAATCATTTAAAGGTACCGTACTTGTAATGCAAACAAAACTGTTTCTTGATATTTTTATTAGCTTAAGTAAAAAATTATCAAAATATTTAATTTACAACAATCTATGGGATTTTTCCTTTTAAACACAAAAATGTAAAATGAAATCAAATATTCTTTTAAAGTGATCATAATTAAGAATTTCCTTAAAAATGACATGAAAGTAAATAATTATAGACAGTTATCCATACCAGACCTTTCTGGAATATGGAGCCTAATCATTACCTGTAACTTTTTAAGAATGTAGGACAAAACCCCACCAGTTAAAACCCCACCACTCAAAATTTTATAGAGTGGACAAAACCCCACCACTAAATTTTATAGAGTGGACAAAACCCCACCACTTAATTTTATAGAGTGGACAAAACCCCACCACTTCAGTGGACAAAACTTTTTTGTAAACATGTTAAAAAACAAACAATTGTGCATCAGCAGAAACTCAAAAGAATGTGTGAACAACTCATCAATAAGGAGAAGACTGTACCCGAGTTTCTTCAGGCTATCAGCCACAGTATCCACTTAAACTAAGTACAATGAAGTACAATGAAGGAAAATTGACTGAACTGAATGAATTAGAAATGTGCTATAAAAATGTGCCAGTTTTTAATCATTTATTGATGAGTATGTGCTACATTCTTGATTAATAGTTAATAGTTTTTTTTTATATAAATAAATTGAAGAAATGAATTTGAAGAAACTAAAAATAATGGATAATTCAAGGTCATAAATGTAACACAGTCTCAAATAAATGACTACTCTTTAATGTTGATTTAACAGTTTGTAAATTATTTGTATAATCTCTTATATTACACAAATGTTATATTGAAATTAAAAAATAAAATGTGAAAATGTGTACTATATATTATATACCACATTTCAATTCATCAAATCTTGCCCAATAATTGGTAAGTGGTGGGGTTTTGTCCACTCTGTAAAATTTAGTGGTGGGGTTTTGTCCACTCTATAAAATTTAGTGGTGGGGTTTTGTCCACTCTATAAAATTTTGAGTGGTGGGGTTTTAACTGGTGGGGGGGGGTTTTGTCCGTCTTCCACTTTTTAAAGATCTACATATGATAAGTGGGCTCTATTTCAGTGAACCCTAGGCTATCTGGGAAAATGTTTCCCCAGTTCCTATTTAACTTCAAAAATTCAAACCACCTTGTCAAGTCACTTGCACTATACCTTCATTTAGATACAGCAACTGGTTCACAATGATCAACTCCAGGGAGAAAACAGGTTTTAGCAAGATAGCTATTTTCAAATCGAACTCTTGTTCAGTGAGCTTAATGTTATTCTGTTTCCATGTTCATGTAAAAATATAATATTATGTTTTAATTTATCTTAGCAGTCCAAATATATATATATATACTAGTAAAGTTAACACTTTGAAACGCTTTTAAATATTTAAATAGCATTTTTTCCAAAGGGCTCATAAACTACATTTTCTGCATCTGAAACAAGACAATATATCCTGTATGTAGTCTCAAAAATGAAAAGAATTTGAAATCAAATTGCTGCACTCCCTTGTTATTCTTCGCCTCCATATTTTACTATTTTGATCTGAGGAATCCCTGACATTTAGGAGGAATCCCTGAATTAAATCTCAGGGATTCCTATGGGATCCCTGGTCAAAACAGTTAGTGTCGAACCCTGAGTACCGAATTGGACACATCGCAACTTTTCGAATTTAAAGATAACGATAAAAACTGAGGAATTCTGACTGAAAACGGATATGTAGACTGGTCACCATAATTGAACAGGGAACCAGAATAACGGAAGCTGTGTATAAAATCTCGAATGACAGTTTTAAAATGGAAAATGTAAAATGAAAATTGAAGGCGCCATTTTGATTGAAAAATCCGATAAATAAAAACAATTTTTTGTCGAATTTTGTTGTGAAAACTATCTAAAATGAAAGAAAATGGTCTAACTAAGAAAATGAATCCGAACACCAATATCTTTTAATCAGTCGTTAACGCTGTACAGACGTTTAAAGTATTGTTTACGTGACGTCACAATGTAGGGCCAAACAGCACGTGCAAAACAATCAAATCAAGTACGCTATTTTAATGTCGCAAATGTTTTAAGTTTTACATTTATTTCACTTTTGATAATCTTTATTTCGCTTGAAAAATTATAGAGTGAAATAAAATAAACAAACAAAGTTTTATCAACGTTTTCAAAACTCGTTATTCATTTAACGACAGGGGTGGAGCCATATTTAACACAGTACCTGTGACGTCACACGCACTCGTCACTGCATTTGAAATAAAAATGAGCGATTATTTCATACTATTTCATGTAAAAAGTACATCGAGCTCGCTTTGAGGCTTTGCCTTTTTCATATTATATAGTTCTATGAGCGTATATGGGTAAAATAATTGTGTCTAGTGCCTGTGGTATCAGATGACGAATACTGATGATACATCGATATTGCGATATTCAATGACAGCCGTAATATTAATGGTTGCACAATTTAATAATGTTAATAAAATTAAAACATTGAAAATAAATGTAGATAACATTTTGAAATATTCTAGCAATCCTGGTACAATTAATATCACGGTACAAGTTATATTCACACTGTAAGATATGCTTTGGTACGAATTATATCGGTAACGAATCAAAGTCACATAACATGTATTTCAACAGGATTGTGATTTAACCTCCAATCTGACTTATGATAAATTTTGAGCACAAAACTATGTAGATAAATAATACACAAAGATAATCCTGAAACAGACCTAGCTTCTCTTCTTTCTTGTTCAAATATTTTCGCTTGGTTTTTCTCGGTTATTCGCCCCTGTAGTTACGGAGCCGGTGTAGATGTAATTAAACTAATGTTGTGATAATTACGATTGCAATCTTTATGACCGCGAAATTTAAAATTTAGTCCGCAACACGTGTTACATGTGACCTTCTTCTATAATTGTTAACCAATCATTACAAAAACATGATATTTACATCATGTTACTGTCGTGGATGTCAACCGACAAAAATGAAAGCCAGTTTAGAAAATAATTTTCATCATGGCACGGGAAAGATTTCAATTTCACCAGTAGATTTTACAACTGCCACTAATTACATTTGTAGGCCTAATCTACTTTTACTTATAATGTCTATTGGCCGCTTTATAAGACCATGGAGTATATATCTGTGATAAGGCACACCAAGCAATCTAAATATTTTAGATTATTGTGCGAATAGCTAATATTTATGCGTTAGAACACTGTTCAAACACGAACCTATACTGTACCGTTGGTGCAGGTGGGTGGAGGAGTGAGAGTGCGGGGGGGGGGGGCTTTTAAAGGAGTTGAAGCACCCCCACACATAGTTTCCCTGACTTCTGAATGTGAAATATATTCTAAATTATAAGCCAAACATGGCATAAAATGAATGTACGCAACAAAACTCGATCATATACATCTTGAGAAAATTTGTTAAAAGGTATTTTATATCCTTACTCAAGGTCACTGCAGACGCAGAATAGATTTCAAGGGTAGCTGAATAAATAACTGTATGACAAGAGTCCCTCAGTATATCTACAGTAAAATATTAATAGTCTCATAAATGCTAAAGAGACAGACGGTTTGTATATATAGCAACATGGATAGTAGACTACAATACAGCCATCTTGGATACATACTCATATTAACCAGCATGTTAAAGCTTTCACTTACCAGCAATATGTACGTACAGTTCCCTACCTTCAGACTTATTTATTTTTAAAAATGTGTCAGTGCCATTATCATGCATTTTTATCAGAGTTAAATATTTCTTATGAATATTCTGTTTAGATTATTAATTCAAGGGATAAACAATCAGGTGAATAGTGGTGGCCAAGGATTTTGAAAACCAAGCAATGTATAAAGGTGTGAATTTGATATATTAATATTAATTTGATAATTCCTGAAAAGCTTTATTGATGCACACTTTTCCGATATAAAAGCTTTCATCTGAAGTTATGAGGTAAATATCCTCCTGTTTAAATATCTTACGAAAAATTATTATCAGTATTTAAAGTTTTAGCACGGATCTTCATTGACAATTAAAAGGTCCGTAGTTTTAGGTAGAACCTAGGTTGATGATATTTCTTTTCATGTAAATAATATTATCTTATATAATCGGTATTACACATTTTCTTTGACTTAATTCATTGTCAAGCTGGCCCGTTATGTGTCATAAAGATGGACATGTGAGCGGTTGTGAAAAAATTAATCAGTCGTGGTGTTTCATTACCATAAAGTAACATAATTTATGATTTTAAGATAGCTTTTACATGTTTGTAAAGTATGAGTTATTGAAATTAAATGTGTACTTTACGTGACGCACAGCCAATTTATGTTCATAACAAGTTTAACAAGTTTATAAATATTCTGCACATGATTAAAGCGTTTCGAAGCGATACAATTTTTGTTTTCATACAAATCTACAAATAACAGGGGAGTGAAAGTGTATTACAATACAACTTATCATAGTTAATAAACATGGTGAAACGGACTTCATAAAATACAATTTGCATGTGACATTATTGTACTACCATATTTATATTATTTCTATGTTTAAAAGCTTCTTTTAGGTACATTGCTAAATTACATAGTTCTTTTTTGTCATTGCTGTTTAACAATTCATAAAATTTGAATACAGACGGTCTTTTATATATTATATTATCATTTACTGTACATACTTTACTCTAAGATTTCGATAACAAGGACATATACATACAAAGTGGTAAATATCTTCTATGTCATGTAAGTTACAGTTTAAACAAATTCGTTTATGTCTAGGTATTCTGTTTTCCCCGAATCTTCCGGTATGAATGCGAGGAAAGAAAGCAGAAATACGTATAACCTGGTGATGAAAAAGCTTAAATTTTAGGATCTTTTATGTAAAGGATCTTTTAAAATGTGTGTATTCATCCAGGATACCATTTCTGCTAACTGCTCCAAACCATTCTTGTTTAAAACAATCAAGCAGTCTAGTTTTAAATACAACTTGGAAATGTTTTAAAGATAAACAAATATAACTATTTACAAATATATCAGAAAGTCCATAAAAATATAGAATACTTTTTACTCGACTTATTTAATTCGTATGACACATCTAACACATTTTATGACATTTTGATAATAATGTCAATTTTCAACTGAAGCAACAACAGCAGAAGGTGCACCAGGCAACCATTAATCAGGGTCACGTATTTCAACCACGCTTTATTGGTTTCATTTAATAAATCTATAAATTGAAAGAATCAAATGAATTTTTTTCAGGGATTTTCAAATCAATTTCTTCTCACATTTGCATGTTTTTCAAAACAGATTTTTTTAAATGTTAACAAATCATATAAATTAGATCAGAATGCTTAAAAATCTTTATAACCTTGGACCCTGATCCTGTTTCGATAACCGCATCTGTTTAAACAGCTGTATTTGGTGAATATCTTACTATATCATAAAATACGAAGTTGTTTTTTTTAAATGCACTGCACACAAGAGGTTTTCGTCATACATAGAACACCATAATTATTATGAAACCGGCTACACATACGCAAGCACGCCGCGCCCCCCCACACACACACAAACAACAACTGAAATCCCTCCAAATCCCTTTCTTTTAAAGAGCTAAGCCAAGTGCTCTACTTGTTGAGCTTTTAACAATCTCACACTTTACTACAGATAATCTAACAAAAATATCAAACAGAAATTAATTACCAATACTAATTTCTGGACAAGACTTCAATATTTAATCATGTGATATGTGCTCACTATCTTTGGTCTAAAATATACACTATCCAATATTTCTCAATATATAGATAGATATCAGAGCATGAAATGCAATACACATGCAAATTGAATAGCAATACAATGTTCAAACATGCGAATGTGTAAATAGAATACCATGACCTTGATTAGCACAATGTTATAATTAAGTAACATATTTGCTATGTTATAGCCTTTCCTCCGATAAAACATTATATCTCTAAAAGAAGATTATGCACATTTCGTTTCCATTTGTAAATTAAGAGTCAAACTAAATTATCGAAATATTATGTGTCAAACTATATTTAACGTTAGTAGTTATGACACTCGATAGGCAGTTTATCATTTCTTGATTTCCTGGAATAATTGACGAATTCCCGAACCGCTTATTTACAAAGCAATGATATAAATAGCTTACTTAATTGAGTGTGTGTATCATTTCCCAATTGGGATCATTTTTATACTTTCATTACGTTAATTGGCCAATCGTTAAAGTTTTGATGACATACATAAAAGAAATTGGCGGAAATGACAGAACACCTACGAATCTGATTAATTAGCTAAATGGCAATTCGAAACGGTATGATTTCTACACATTTCTGGATGTTTTGTTGAGGGTCAAAGTCGTAAAGTAAATTTTCCTGGTTTTTGCATAAGAACATAACAGAACTGTACGTACATTACTTTAATACAGATTCATGCATTTATTTTTTTGTTATTTATACGGGGAAAAAAATAAAGAAAAACAAACCACCATGCAACATCGCGTACTTTGAAGAAACATCAATGTGCTATATTGAAAGCAATTTATAAATTTATGAAACATAAACTACATTATGACCAAACAAACGATACATTGTTGGAGGCCCCATCTTCTTTAAAATTTCATACAGGTGTCAACATTTTTGTGGCAGCTGTTAAAAGTTGCCCCTTACTTTCGTATTGTTATAATTTTTCTGGTCCTTCAGGCTCATTGATGAAGTGTTAAAATTGAGTACCACTCAAGCCGGTGCTAGGGGGTGTGAGGGATGTTGCACTTTTTCAGTATCCCTTAAAGCTAGTCTGCAATTTTAATGTAATTTGTTGTGATAATAATTCCGAGGGACCATACTTCTTCCAGATTTTTATACATTAGCGTTTGGAAGTTCATTTTTTCAGATCTTTAATTTTTGGAACGATCTTACTGTATTATGGTTAAATTCGCAAAATATATTTCCATATAAGAGAACTTAAAATACGTATTTACCTTTGCTCAAGTTAAGATGAATTGACGAATACATGCTTATTGTCTTCATCAATATGTGGAGCTAGATATTTTATTTAATCTTTTTATGTAAACAATGATTATAGGATATCCTCATTAATTGTAACATGTTCATTTTAAGATAAGGAAGTGAATGATAGGTAGTTTGCTATTATTTTGTTCATGATATATATACATGTATATCAAAATCACTTTGCCAATTATTTAAACGATGGTAGACACTTATATATTATAACAGGTAACTTTCATGCCATTACCAATCTGTCAACTATAGAACACTCTTGTAACAACACATTATCATGTACTCAAAGTTCGTACAAAACCAAGTTAAAGTGACATTATGTTCATTTTATTACTGTCAAGCTCAGATAAATTAGTTGTATATTTCAAATTGACTATTTACATGGCGATTGAATAATAATTGATAATCACAATAGTTAATGAGGAAAATATAAAAGCCTAAAGTATGAAAAGACTGCCACACTCTTTATAAATTGAACAGAACCGATATTTTCGAAAGGATATTTATAATTGAGCCGCATCACGACAAAACCAACATAATGGGTTTGCGACCAGCATGGATCCAGACCAGCCTTCGCATCCGCGCAGTCTGATCAGGATCCATGATGTTCGCTTACAAACCCTATAACAAGTAGAGAAACTGATAGCGAATAGCATGGATCCTGATCAGACTGCGCGGGTGCGCAGGCTGGTCTGGATCCATGCTGGTCGCAAAACCACTATGTTGGTTTTGTCGTGACACGGCTCATAAATTTTTATATTCATATTGGTCAGGAGGG